TATTTTTTTCATGATATACTTTTAAAATTTACAAGCATAATGTTCAGCAACCATGCTTGAAGTTTTTCAAGCGTTACATTATTATATTCCAAAATAAGTCTTGCATTTAAAGACAAACATTACAATGCTCACACTTTGTTATAATTCTCTGTCTGTCTTTCTCACCTAGAATATTAACTCTGGGAAGGCAGTGACTGTGTTTACCTTGTCACAGCACAGTGTCTAGCACATAGTAAATACTACTACATATTTTTTAAATGAAGGAAGGAATTTCTTATTTTTCTTTTAGACCTTGAAACTAAAGGGACAAATATAAAATTTCTGATGAGCAGTTTAAAAATCATTTTTATTCCTTCATTTAGAAATAAATTTTTTTCTTTTAAAGTACTTTCTTCACTTCTTGCTACAATGCTTATTTCCTAGGGCCATTTTGTTTTGTTTGATAGGGGAGTCATAATGGGTATCTCTTGGGATACCTGCACAATCCACAAGTCAACTCCGACTTTCTTTGGAAAACGTCACTCACCCTTTGCGTCGGAGCCTATGAGCTTTTCTTCCCCAGGACTTAGGACTGAGATAAATTATACACAGTCTCTTTGTGAGCGAGTACAACTGCAGTGTGCAAGTGCTGGCACTGAAACAGCACCGTGTGCTCAGAGAAATACAGTCTGCTGCGAGAGAAAAGCAGATGCGTAGAGAGAGAGACCAGAAAAAGGAAGTCCTGACAGTCTTAGATCCCAGTCAGTCCCTTCCAAGGTCTGGCAGAAGAATCCCTGTCCTCAGGTTCCCTTGAGTTACTTCTGTAGCCCTAATGTAAATAGCTCCTTTTATGGCTTAAGCCAGGTTAAGTGGGTCAATTCCTAACAAATGTGATAATATATTTTAAATGAAAAGTAAGTGAGGCATTGTTTTCGATGCAAAGATAACTTCCAGGAAATGTAGGGCAGTGCAAGAAAAACTGAATAGTTTCAATGGGGCTTCCTTAACATCTCCAGATGAGGCAAGAGCAGGTGGTCTACCCTAGCATCACCACACAGAGGCAGTCTGGAGAAAAGAGCTTCCGGTTGGTTTGACGGCCGGGCAAAGAATAAATGAAATGCCAGAGCTCAGCTAATAGGTCCTTGCCAAAACAGAACTTCGCACATCTGTCTGCTGTGAGCATGGGAGCCAGGCAAAAGGACTCTAGAGCAGTGTTTCTCAAAGTAGGGTCCTGGGTAAAAACACAAATCCCTGAACCCCATTCCAAACCTGGGAAATCAGAATATCTGAGGGGGTGCCATGCATTCAGCCTTTATTAATAGGCACAGTGGGCAACTGGTATGCACACTGTCTTGGAGCTTTCTACTCAGGATGTGGTGTGAAGACCAGCAGGGATGGTGCCACCAGGGAACTTCCTGGAAATGAGGGGTCTTTCCCACCCACCTGACCTCCAGAACCATGATCTGCACTTGAACAAGATGACTAGGTGATCGAGATGTTCATTAAAGTGGGGGAAACCTTGCTCGAGATCATTAGTTCCCTGCTTGGTTCTACACTGGAACGACCCAGGTCACTTAAACACATTACTGTGGTCTGAGTTTTACCCCCCAGAGAGTCTGAATTAACTGGTCTGGAGGGCGACCTGTGCATAAGCACTTTTAAAAGTTCCCCTAAATGATTCTAACGTGTAGCCAAGATTGAGAACCATTGCTTAACAGGGATGACTAGATACATCCTAGAAGAAGGCATTCAATTTGTTGAATGGATTTCGAAACTCATGGATGGGACCATAGTCCCAAGACTTGATTTGAAGGAGCAGGACCCCAGAGGGAAAGAAAATTGTATTTCTTTTTAAGTTCCAGAAAGAGCTGGTTTGGAAAATCATAAGAGAGACCACAGAGGAGAACTCAGAGTTTACAAAATGAACTATGGAGTCTGGAGAGCATATGCCACCCAATAACCTTTGGGGGAAAAGAGGGCTTTTGCTACTTCTTAAGAAAAACCCAAGAAGACTGCAACCCTCTTAGGTGCTGGAGTAACAGATGCCTAGGTGGGAAATTACCAATGGCTAAAGGAATAGTCTAGGATAAGCATAAAGGCAATCTCAGAGACCTGAAGACCCCAACCTGCGAGTCCCAATTGTGGCACAGAAGCATTTGCTGAGAGTGAACCAGAAGAGGCCAAAATAGGACAAGGAGGACCCAGGACACGTGGAACTTTTGAGCAGTGGCCATTACGCAGACCATTGGATTAATCACCGAAGCTTGAGCAACATGTCATAGACCATGAGAGACTGAGCTATCCTTCAGCCAGAGGCCAACAAGTACAGATGACGTGCTTGGCCCAGGCACCCCTTTCTCCGTCCCTGGACAAAAGGCACCCCCTTTGCTACTCCATTCCTTGGGAGAGTTGCTGCAGAGGGAGGAAAGAGGGAGTCTTGAATCCAAATGAATACTTACCCAAGTGACATTAAATCTGAATCTAGAAGTGACTGCAAGATTGAGGTTTTCCACCATAGGAGAAATGGAGACTTGAGAGCTAAATGGGATTCGCTTATAGAAAAATGAGGAAAGTTCCACATCTAATTCCTGAATTATGCCTGCAAATTTCAAATCTGCTACACTAGCTAGTAGGATCTAGTCACCTGCCCATAAGGCAGTTTTCCTCGCATTAAGTCCCTGGGACTTGGTATCAAGAAAAAAGGCTTCTTTGAATGGCATTCTTTTTGCAAGAAAATGAGGAGGAGGGGAAATGTTGCACGATCATGAAGCACAAGACACCTATGTCTAAGAGGCAGAACTGGGACCAGAACTCAGGTCTACTGTCTAAGATGTACTGATGAACTCTGAAAGCCTCAAGGCTATCTGGAGGTTAAGAAATCAACTAAGTGTCATAATGGTCCTGTCTTAGTAAAGAACATTTACTCTTCACACAGATGGATACACTGCATTAACGTCATTCATTACTGTAAAGTGAATCAGCCTCAGTGGATAAAGTTATTGACTAGTGAATGGCCTCAAATGACCATTTTCTGATTGTTAAGAAGGGATGAAAAAGACGTAGTTAAGAGATGACCAATTACTGACATTGGACTTGCTTCCTCTGTTCTCTGTCTCACTCCTTTACTCCCCTCCCTGGAGGGAATATTCTTTGAGAGAAAAGTTGTTTCATGTTTCTCTCCTTCCTGGCCCTTATTTAGAAGACTTCAAAGGAAATCACTAGACTTGACTATGTGATTGATACATCCTATATTTCCCTCACCTTGTGGAAGGCATGGCCATTCTCTGTCAGTTCCCTTGTACTAAGGGAAGACTATGAAGGGCATAAGGAATAGCAATAACTTTCTAAAATAACTGTTTCTCAGGACTTCCCTGGTGGCACAGTGGTTGGGAATCCATCTGCCAATGCAGGGGACACGGGTTCAATCCCTGGTCCAGGAAGATCCCACATGCCGCGGAGCAACTAAGCCCGTGTGCCACAACTACTGAGCCTGAGCTCTACAGCCTACAGGCCACAGCTACTGAGCCCACGTGCCACAACTACTGAAGCCCACGTGCCTAGAGCCTGTGCTCTGCAATAAGAGAAGCCACCGTAATGAGAAGCCCGCACACCGCAACGAAGAGTAGCCCCTGCTCGCCTCAACTAGAGAAAGCCCGTGCAGCGACGAAGACGCAACGCAGCCAAAAATTAAAATAATAAATTTAAGAGGTAAAATAAAATAACTGTTTCTTTAAAATTGTGACCCAGGAATTGAATTTCATTAATCATCCTGACATAGTTTGGGAAGAAATCACATAGGGGATCTAATTTTTGGATTACTTAAAAGTGAATATATTATGTATGAGACTCCTCTCCCCAAAAGAAAACCTAACCAATCATTGATTAGGCTAGTATAATATAACCCAAGAAAATGAATTTCACTAGATGCTCTTGCAATTGCCACAAGGAGGACCCATTCATATACAATATAATTCTAAATCCGCTTTGAGCCCACTACAACATCTATGTTAGTGCCATTGAAAATTCCTGGCAAATTTGTAAGGATATGTTGCAGTATCCTTTTTGCCTAATCCTGGAGGGGAAGAGAAAGTCAAAGGATTGAAATTAGTGATGTATATTTAGGCAGTCAGCTTATTGGAATGATGCCCCAAACCAGCAAATGCTCTACATATGGAAAATACTCAATTAGGGGAGGGCTGATGGAAAGAGACAAGGTCTCAATAAAGGGTTGAAGCTGTCAGTGAACCATTAATGATTTCTAACTATTTCTTGAAACCATCTTAAAATAACCAACATAAAAGGGAAAATTGAACCACAAAACCAAGAAGTCTAATGTTGTCTGCTAACAACCCTGATTATTGAAACAATCCTTTAAGACAAATCTATATTTTCATACAGCGTACATAAAACATGAATTATCTCACTGGGCTGTACGGATCTCCACTGAATCCTCACTGTGAATTAAGCAATCAAGAATTGGTAATGATCTGTATCACGAACCCGTTCTTTATGCTTTGCTTTCAAAGTCATTCTATCTTCGGAAAACCCCCAGACATGGCTGGAAAATATTTATGTTCCAAAACCAGGAGCTTATGACAGAAATGCTGAGGTGCATAAGTCAATTCGTAGGAGCTGTGAGCTCAACAGGGAATTATGGGGTTAAAATTAATTGCTTTGAAAAGTTATCTGATGCAGGCTGTCCTTGTCAATGGAGACCAGATTACTGAGGAGTTTCAAATAACAAACTTTTGTTGCAAAGTTGGTAAGTTTTATGTCCAATGCAGTTTTTTAAAAGCCATCTTGCTTTTTTAACTTCCTCTCTTGACAGGAAAAGGAGTGTTTGTTCTGTCTGTCTTCAGAGTCTCATGAAAGTTGCTTTGGAATGGTACCCAAAGAACCCGTGTGATGGGCAAGCTTGGCCTTAACCTGTACAAGAGAACTGCTTAAACATGATGCATTGTCCAGAGAATAGCTCTTTCTAGGAAGCAGACTCTGTTGTAAGAAAAGAAAGAAGAACTTACCTGGGTAATCATTCTTGTCTATGTCAGAATCTCCTCTTAAAGTAAAGCCGAATCCAGAAGGGACAGCCTGTGAGGCCCACACTCCTTGCAGAATTTGGGAAGCCTTGGCGTTTAAGCCATTCTTGTTACCGTTGTAAATGAGCACTTTGCCTCTTTGGTCCTTGCCTGCAAAGGGCGCACCGATGGCAATGTCTACAAACAGAGACACACAATTTTTAAATAAAGAAGAGTATTTTAGAAAGAGAAATAAGTACAATCGAAGAGCAGTACCAAACAGCCCAAAGGGCTTCTTAATTTTTCCATGAAACTCTGTAGTACTGCAACAAGAGGAAATTATTTGTTGTCTTTCATCCATCCAAGGAATATTTATCGAGTGCCTATGTGTTGGGCACAGTGGATTCAACGGCGAACCAGACACTGCTTTTCAAAAGTTTATATTCTAGTGCGGGGAATGGACAATTTGAGTAAAGAAATAATCAAGAAAAGACAGAAAGTGACAAATGCTATGCAGAGGATCTTAAAAATATTGATGTGATGGAGAGTGATTGGATTGTTATTTTAGATGAAGTGGTCAGACAAGGTGTCTCTAAGGCTGATCTTGAAACTGAAATCTGGGGACAAGATGGAACTGACCATGTGGAATCAGAAGGAAGAGCATTCCAGGCAGAAGGAATGACTGTGCAAAGGCCCGAGGATGCAAGGAGCTTGGCCCACCTGAAGAGCAGCCAGAAGGTGATCTACGTGGGAGCTTAGTGAGTAATAGGGAAGAGCTGGGTCAGATTAATGGGCTGGGTGGACCAGATGAGGCACCTCTGCAGAGTACTTAAGAGTTTCTTGTTAAAAGAAATAAACAGGGCTTCCCTGGTGGCGCAGTGGTTGAGAGTCCGCTTGCCGATGCAGGGGATGCGGGTTCGTGCCCCGGTCCGGGGAGATCCCACGTGCCGCTGAGCCTGCGCGTCCGGAGCCTGTGCTCCGCAACGGGAGAGGCCGCAACGGTGAGAGGCCCGCGTACCGCAAAAAATAAATAAATAAATAAACAACCTCTTTCACAAATATTATATCCTTGAATGATTACATCATCCCATGATGTAGGCAAGACCCGTTTCATAGTGGAGGACTCTGGGAAACGGAGAGAGAACCCTATCGCCTGTCTCCCTGCTAAACATAGCAGTGAATGAAAACTACCTTCCATACATTGTGTTCACCAGGATTGCTCTAAACAATACACCTAACTACTTAGGTTTACATGGAAAAGAGCGCCAATAACACAGTAACATAACAGCCCAAGCTGCGGACGATGGTATGTGTCCTCATTTTGTCATTCATCCATTTGTATTTGTTCCTAAGTCTGATAAGACTGAATGAATTGTAAACTGATTTTCACTACATAACAAGGATCATAAATCCACTTTCATTTAACAGGTAAGGATAAACTGTCAAAAAACTCAGATCGTTGTGGAAAATAAAGATATTGTCATATGGTAGGTGGAAAGGGGTACTTTCTTCACATCCTCTGAGTCAGTGAATTTATATCTGTCCCCTGGTTACATCTCATTTTGGCATCATTTTAAGGACACCAAGGCTCAGAGAGGCAAAACGCCTCTTAGGTTGTTAGGAATGTTTCTATTAGCTCTTAAAAGTATCATTAAGGGTTTGAGAGAAAAGACAAATAGAAGAGATGATGAAAAAGATGACTACACAGATAATTTAGCATTATTTATTTCATTTGGTGCTCAGGAATAGGGCAGTTTTTGAAAGCAACAAATCAGTTAAAGATGAACTTGTCTCTTTTTTAAAAAGTTTCCCTGGAACCATGAGCTTTTAGTATGCATTTATGTCTTACGGTACTTTAAAAGTTACTAACTATACATTGCTGAGACGTGTTTTTTCAAGGAAATCATAAAAGTACGTGACCAGTTGCTGAAGGTATTAATGCATACTTTGATTTGATGGGAATACTCTCTAGGCTATTTTGTTGGAGCAAATTCCTGTTACTCCCTGGAACTTCAAGAAACCCAGTCTACCTTGGTTCTTAACTTAAAGGTCCTGAAAATGTATGCAAAATTTTGTGTGAGCTGGCATGTTTTTCTGAGGAGAGGGTACTTAGAAGGCATTCATAAATTCCCAACTTAAAGAACCACAAACCTAAACTAAGAATTTAACACTGCTTAACAGCGAACATTGAAGGTGCCTTTAATCTGAAGTTGAGAGATTAGTTACAATTCAGCATAACCTGTACGTGAGCCATATGAGTTACTCAGACGGCAATACACTTGCCAATATATCGACATGTACTTATTTGTTTTGACACTGTACATATAGTACATTCTCTAGGTCTCTTCAAGTCATAAATCTATATGTCAATTTTTAAAATAATTGCTGTTTGTTTAGAGCTGTCATATGACACCCTAAATCAACATGAGAAAATTTCCATGTAACATCTATATTAGCCAAAACTAAAGTTTAAATTGCCTTGAGATTTGGATAGTTTATTAAAGACCAATCAGAAGAACTGTACCACACACACCACTGTGAAGTCTCTTGTTTCTGTCATGCAACAGTAACATGAAATTGTGGCACATGAGTAATTTCCATGCATTGGTGTAAATTACCATTGTATCCATCTTGGTTCAGGTCTCCTAAATGTGCCAGAGCACTACCGAATCTCCCGAAGACGTCAGTGCCTGCGAGGATCTGCGGATTTCTGAAGACCAGCACGTTCACTTGCAAGTACAGGTAAACTTGCCCTACTTCTCTGGGGTTGCTCTCAAATTCACGTTCCATAAAGAGAGGTGCCCCGATCAATATGTCATCCATTCTGCAGGGAACAAAGAAAGAGGTCAACACAGACATGAGATGCTGTTGGGTAGATTTCTAATCAACTAGATTAGTACATTTCCACTGGTATATTTCCTTTTCCAAGGGATATTTTACAACTGTCATATTTCTTTCGTTGGTTTGTTATGTCTACGGAATAGAATGCTGTAAGAAAATAAGAGTTGTTAAATTATCACACTGAACTTTTTAGCTATGCTAAAAATTACTACTTTAAGAAAACCACAGCTATTTCACCCTTTTCAGCTCTTTGGTGCATTTCCAGAAAATGTACTTACACAAGTAAAACGTATCAGAAAGACCTAAATAGGTTTTTCTAAACATGGATGAGAATTTCTTTACAATTTAGTTAACTATACATTTATATTATGAAGTTTTCTTGCAGTAATAAGGTTTAAAATAAAGTCTGTCCTCCTCTTTTCTCTTGTTACCTCCATTCAAATAAAACAGAGGCCAGAGAAGGTTCTCACACTGGCTAGAAAGCTAGAAAACAAAATCTTCCTCCCAAATGGGAATTTATAGTTTTTCTTTGTAGATGTAGATATTATAGCAGACAACCAGTAGATAATTTTTCAGGCTGAAAAAATTTTAAGAAAGAGATAGCAATTGGATTGCTACACACTTAGGTAAAACGTTTTCTTAAAAATGTTCCAAATGGGGACATCCCTGGTGGTCCAGTGGTTAAGATTTCGCCTTCCAATGCAGGGGGTGAGGGTTCAATCCTTGGTCGGAGAGCTAAGATCCCACATGCCTCATGGCCAAAAAACCAAAAGATAAAACAGAAGCAATATTGTAACAAATTCAATAAAGACTTTAAAAATGGTCCACGTCAAAAAATAAAAATCTTAAAAAAAATGTTCCAAATGCATTTACTTGCCGTGTTTCTGTGCTCTATCTAGGCCAAGAGTAAGGCAGGGATTGGGGCTGCTCCAGGCCTCAGGCTTTGCCCTGGAGGAACCTGGTTGCCTCTCTTTCTGTTATTATTATTGTCAGTATGAAGAGACATTTGTTAAACACCTAATTGTGTGTGTTGCTGCCTTGTAGTTCAAAGACGTCTAAAACCACTGGTTCTCTAGTGCAGAGGTTGAGCAGGGCCATTTTCTCATTCTCAACAGAAGGCACAAAGCCATACAATTGGTCCCTGAGGGACATGGGACTGACACGTTACCTCACTATGTTTCTCACTGCCAACACTGTGGAGTTCTAGAAATGCAAGATTATTCGACGTATGCTTGTGAAAGATTAGCACATCCATGGGATCTTTGGATTCTTGGACTATTGTGACAACGTTGATTTATTTTCGTAGAAATAGATTTCCCTAGATGTTTAAGTGTAAGGCTTCTAAAATGTTCTAAACGCCAAAAAAGGAGAAAGACATTTGTTCTTAATTTATAATTGTGTTCTCATAAAGCTGAGAGACAATAACTGTCTTGGATTCAATTGATTCAATGTGCCTTGTGCAATATTTTGCATTTAGTGTCAATAATATTTTGTTAGCAGTACCACTTAAGAGTCACAGTATATATTATTGTTTAGGCTGGTGTTTTAAAATCTTGATTTGCAACTCATTAGTGGATTGTGAAATCAATTTAATGGGTCTTGACAAGCAATTATAAAAAATGAAATAGAATACAATAGAAAATACGAGTCAATGCATTACACATCCTAAGAGTGAATACTGTTCCATGAAACCTTTTGTTTCAGTTGTGTGTGTGTAGTGGGTTGCAACGTCAAATGTATTTCTGATTACGATCCTACAGGGCCAAAAACTCATTGAAAGACCACTGTGGTAGGCCATGCGTGCTATTAGGCTATTTCAAAATTTACTTGTCGTATCCTTTTTTAGAATATACCCAATTCAAGTTTAAAGTTTTAAAAATATTTATTAGTAAAGACGTTCTTTACTGAGCTTCCGAAAAAGTCGTTGTGTAACAGACTGGGTGCTATTCTAAGAATATATAATATATATAAAGTATATCATATTTTATACATATACATGTAATCTCAAGAAAGAATAATGATGAATCAATATTTATGATGAAGTTTTCACTAAAAACCATCTTTTCTGTTTGTGTCATGTTGGTAGTTTGGATGAGATCTAAGTTATTACGTAAAGGCATTTTATAAAAGTAGGATATACACACTAAATTTCATCTTATCTGAAATGTCCAATATTTGAGCACAGTTTTCTTTACATCTCTATGTAGCATTCACACAGGTTTTATTTGTGTCTCTTTTTTATGTCTAAAAAAGTATTATGTCCACTCTAATGATACAATGCAAGGTGCAGGTTCTCATTCTTTCACATGTTCTTTGAGACAAAACATTATAAATATTTCCCTGAAGAGCAAAGCATAAATATAGTGATAAACAGAGAGGGGGGATGAGGGAACCCATCAGTGAGAATATTCATTATGAAGAATCTGAATTCAAGTTTTCTACAGCCAAATGGTGTTTAATATGTTGATTTAACATATAAACTTCTCTGTTTCTTCTTTTTTCACAATAGTCCATAGTGCATGCTAATGCCTGTGACTGATTTGCAGAATGTAGTTATTAAGAGAATGCAGGTTAGGAGGCTGTATACTAGAATTGATATCTAATCAATATAATTATTTTATGATAGGTGAGAACAAATATAGCTTATCACTTATGTTACAGAAATCAATTTAATTTGCAATTTCTTTATGTTTTAATTTTCTAGATTTTCTACTTAATTGAAGCATAATGATTTCTCTTCTATGAGAGAACCCACTTGGAGTAAATCTAGCACCAAAACACAGTTACTCAAAGCTGCTTCCTTTCAAATAAATTTTCTCTAAAATGCTCACAAGTTAACTAACTGCTAAGACTCTCTCTAAATTTAGTTCCTTTTGGCCCTGCAGAGGCTAAAACAGTCCAATGGATTAAACTGTAATTCTTTGAATTTCTGAAATAGTACGAATATTTTGTTTCAAAAATCCATAAGAAAATAAAAAAACAGATTTGCTTGTTTAGGTTCAAGAGGAAAATACTATCTCCCTTTGCTGTTAAATTTGTCCAGAAATTCCTAACAGAGTTTACATTGAAAGATTTTGTAGTTCTGGCTATCTTAAGATAACTGAAGTTAATTTCACCAGCTTGTTTATGTTTTACAAAATAGTCCCAGGCTTGACAAGATCAACCACCAACCAGCATGCACGTTAACTGATTGGTCTAAACTTTGGCAGTCCACTCGTAACACCTGGCGATTTTTTAAAATAAAAAAATATTGGAGAAATCCCCACCAGTTTATTTGGTCACATTACTTAACGACACTGTCTTTTTTTTTGTTTTTTCCCTGATGGTGGGTTTTGGAGCATTTGTAGGGACTTCGCTTTTGTTGCACAGTGGATAGAGAGGATGACATACACTGTGAAAGAAACTTCACTAGGTAGTCTCACGTACAACAGTACTTAGTTATCTCCTGGATGGAGAGAGGGAAGTCTGGTTCAATTCCACAAAACGTGAGTCCTAACTTCTGAACCATGAATGATCAACTAGATGAGTGATGCTCTTAATCCTATTCTGAGTCACTGTACAACATCCACTCAGGTCCAAGACTTGAAAGATTCAGGCTATTAAAAAAAAAAAAAAAAACTATTGGAAAATTAGAAATTGGGTAAAGAAAGGGAATTAAATCGCAATTCTATTATGAAACTCTGCTCATTAATGCTCATTTATAATTCCTTAATCACTGATAAATGCTGGGAAAGCTAGAAAGGGCTTTGTGAATTTTTAAAAAATTGGAGTTACAGACTCGCTAAAATTATTTATGAGTTAAACTAATGACTTGGTCAAATGCAGCAGCCTAGTACGGCCACTTGTAATATAATCAAACAAACTGATTTTTCTTATATGCCATGATGCTGAAAACCATTCATAACTGAATTTTTTTTTATCAGTCAGTTGTTTTTAGCATCATCAAAGACAATCTTAAAGTTCTTTGGGTGAAAATAACTGAAATTATGGTTTTATAAAGTGGAAGTATGAGCTTGTTTATAAGAATAATGGAAATTAATAAAATGCACACTTAATAAACAGATTCTTATCAATGAGAAAAACAGAGTAAAAACTTAAACACATATATATGCTATTCTTCTACCCCAACCCTTATTGAAGGTCACTGAGATACATGTGTATTCTGTATGTGTATGTATATGTATATCTGTATACATGTTATAGACAATAACTGTATGTTTTTACATGAATATGAATATAGATAGGTCTATATGTGCATATATATGTGGAATCTATAAAGTGAAATTCACACAAGTAGAGTGGTGCTTACCACGGGTGGAGAGACTGGGGAAATGGGGAGATATTAGTCGAAAAGTACAAAGTTGCAGCTATGTAGGATGTATAAGTTCTAGAGATCCAGTGTACAGCATAGTGGCTATAGTTAATAATACTATATTGTATACTGGAAATTTGCTAAAAGGGTAGATCTTAGGTGCTCTTACTATATAGACACCCCCCACACACACACACACGGTAACTATGTGATGGATGGACCACCCAGTTGGATGATACAGATGAATCACATAGATGGAGATGTTAATTAGACTGCATGCAGTGATCATCTCACTATGTATATGTATATCAAAACATGTTGTCCACCTTAAATAAACACAGTTTTTAATTTTAAAACTATTTTACAGGTTACTATTGGAGTTCTTCAGTGACAAGTATACTAATTTATCTGTTTCCCAATTTTTAAAAGTAAGTGAGAGGCATGTCAGTCATTGTACTCACTTACTAGATTAAAAATTCTTAATTCTTACAGATTTTAAACCCTTGAAGACTGAAATTATATATATGCTTTCCTACTAGCTATTTTATAGAGCTTAGTAAAGAGTTCTCTGTATATAAGTGAACAAAAAATTTATAAGGAAAGTCAGCAAAAGTTCTGTGAACTAATCAAGACCTTCCCCTACTTAGTGTGTGCTCTTGGGCAATTCACTTAACTTTTGTGTCTCAGTTTTCTCATTGGTGAATTTTAGGTAGTTTCATTGGATTGTAGTACAGATTGTCCTGTGCTATTAGACTTAAATAAAGGTACTTTGAGAGAAATAAAAGGTACTTTGAGAGAAATAAAAACACTGTCTGCTAATCATTCATGATAAAGATAAAATGTGATTGCTTAATAGCATGTTAAGTTCTTCAATTGTTTCAATGGAGAATCAAGATTTCTGCATTTGAAACTGCTAACCAACTGAGGTTTATATCCAGGAAAACTTTATCTGAGATAGAGATTTGTGTTTGCTGCAAATCCCATTCTAGCCTTAGGGTCCCTGCTAGAAATCTTGTCAGAAACTGAGAATGACAAAAGCACTCTTTCTCAAAACAAGGCCACATGTGTCCTGACATGGAGCCATCACAGGAGCTTAGGAAAAGTCACTGACACATGCATGATGTACTGCCTTTTTTTTCCTCATTCTGCTAAGATTTCTGAGGGATTACAGGTTTATGTCTCTGCCCTGATGGCTTGTTTTGTACCTTCCCTGGGGATGAATATCCACCCCAGGAGGTGAGGACACAGGCTGTCACAGTAATTAGTGGTTTTCAGGCCCCCGTCCTGGGATCACGTATAAACCTAGAAACACAAGATGCCATGTTTTCCCTATTTGTGTCTATCTGAAAGCCAACAATATCAAGTGATTGTTCTAGAAAAACAGGTGCTGCAAAAATGATGGCAAGTTATATATGCATTATTGTAATCTCAGACTTCACATGAGTTCTCTATCTTTATTTGGGATGCGATGTTCTCAATGGCTTCCAGAGCACACCCATTGATTACAGGAACATGAATGTACGTTGCATCTAAGTAATTAGAGCAGCAAACAATATACAGACTGAGAATCTATAGGTACTTTTTTCTTTAAGAATGACAATATTAAGATAATAGATGTATTTTTCAATGCAGTCTAAAGAATTCAGAATATCCTACCTAATAAAAAGAAATGATGTGCATAGCAATTTTTAAGAACATCAAGAAAGAACAAATCATCACTGGAAAATTCCTATGTTTGAAACCAATCAGGTCCTTTTTTCACAAGTTTTTTTTTTTTTTCTTAATGTGGCAAAAAAAAAAAAGTCCTATAAACGTTGTCACAAAACTTTTCTTTAGACTGGAATGAATGTGTTTTCAGGAAGGACATGGTGCCCTGCAGGGCATATTGTGACCCCTGGGGGAGAAAGCTGAAAGAATTGAAAAGGGAGTGAACTACAGAACGAAACACACTGGGTGATCTGTGCCCTAAAAAATGCTGCCTGGCTCCCAGGAGAGAAGCCCTCATGCATGTTGTGTTGTTATCTGTTGAGGGAAATGTGTCTAATTTATCCCAAGGGCCACTGTCGGATTTTTTGTTTTCACTAAAGAATGGGCTTCCTGTATCTGGACAGTACGCCATGTTTTGGACCTCAAGTTCTTCCTCCACCATTTTCTTTGTAAATGACTAAAAGGCTCTGATAACAGATACAGTCCATCCAGGTTGCTCATTTTGAATGGTGGTCCTAACTGTTACTTCCTTTCCACAATTCAGACAGCTAAAGATTAAAGCAACTTCATTTTCAATTATCTGCAGGATATGATCTTATCCAGGATAAGATTTCATTCACAGATCTTATCCGGGATAAGATTTCATTCACAGATCTTATCCGGGATAAGATTTGCGTTCTTCAAAATAGACCCAGAGTGCAACCAGTTCTACTCTTCCTGCCACTGCTCTGGTCCAAAGCCACTGTCCTGCCTCACCTGGCTTATGGCAATGGGCTCCCAGAAGGCCTCACTCCATGGAGACCCAATGAACAGAGCATGGCTGCTAAAACCAAAGTGGGTGCAGGCCAGTCCCTTGCTTAGACTCCTCCAGGGGTTTTCAAGACGATGTGTCCTTCTTGGAAACAGACTCATTCTATCCATGGCAGAGTCCGTGTGGTGCTGTGTAAAGCGGCTCACAGACTTTCTCTCCAAGCCTCTTTGATATTCCTTGACTATGCCAGCAGCTCCCTGCTCCGCTGGGAATTTGGACAC